AACCTCATACGTTTCAGATTGGTGACACTGTTCTCGTTCGTCAAAAACGTGTCAACAAGCTACCATCACCATATAACAAACACCCATATACCATCATTAAGATAAAAGGCAGCATGATAAGTGTACAAAACGCGACCAGCTATATCACAAGGAACAGTTCCCAATTTAAGAAAATCACCATCACCACCAACCAACATGATCACGTAGTAGACCCTTTTGATGACGAGGAGATCAATCATGCACCACCTGCTGTTCCCGTGGAAATGAGACGCTATCCCATGAGAGAAAATCGAAGACCTCCAGAACGTTTAAACGCAGAATATCAGCACTGATAATTATCTAAATAAACTCCGTCTCATTACCATAAGCATAGATAACATTTCATACTATTTCATAAACGTTAAGATTCTCGACGAATTTCCATTTAAAGCAAGGGAGGGATGTAACGATCTGACGTCATGGTTTATGTGACGTCACTTGTATATAGTTGTATGCCACTTTATATTAAAATCATTATCATAGCAACCACTGACGAGAGCGTGTCTATTATTACCCTTCGCTAAAGATATTACAATTAACTACCAACATTTAACAAAGTATACAGGCCTATGTACATGACAATAGCTGTATATAAATATATATGGCCATGTGTAATATGATATACGTCAGATGACCCCTAATATTAACTTACTAGAGCTATTACCACATGCAAATATAAAACTCTCTATTCCAAGTCATGATATATATAGTGTCATATGTAGTACAATAATACACTTAACAATGTTAGTACATGAAGAGCAAGAAAAATGTTCAAGATGGTCAACTTCATAATTTAAATCACGAAAGAACTTTTTTAGTTTAAACTTGTAGGCCGAAGGGGAGTTGTCATGGACCATTTTTAGGTCATTTGGCAAGGAGTTAAACAGCAACACTCCACTGTATGAGAGTTTAGTTTTAGCCAGCTCAGATTTGACTAAGGGTGCCCTTAGATCGATTAAAGAACGTCGAGTATGGACATCATGCATCTCACCAGAGATATGAAACAGATTGCGAAGCTCACTTGGTGATGAGCTACGCAGGGTGTTGACAACTAACAGTATTTTTTCATCTTAATCAAGTTATTGATGGGAATCCAATTAAGTTTACGAAAAAGATCGACAGAAGGGGTTGACATAGTCTCATCCAAAGTTAATCTTGCAGCTATTTTTTAAAGTTTTAGCAGCGGATCAATAAGCTCGCGACGTGCATTTCCCCACATAGTGATGCCATATAAGAGATGAGGGTATATAAAGGCATAATAAAACTGAATTCTACACTTCACTGGAAGGGATGGACAAATACGCTTAAATAGATACAGTCGAGAATTTAGCAGTTTGAAGATTTGAGGATGTTAAGAGGGTGGAATCATCAGCGAAAAGTGAGGGATGTGTGGTGTTTAAAAATGTTGGTAGATCATTTATAAATAACAAGAAGAGTAACGGACCGAGAATAGATCCTTGGCGGACCCCGGTTTTTATTGTTAAGGGGTCTGACAAATGGTCGCTTATTTGGACTTGTTGAGTTCGCCCTTCTAGGTATGATGTGAACCATTTCAGAGTGAGATCAGTAGCTCCGTATGCGCGAATTTTTTGAAGCAAGATAGTATGATCGACTAAATCAAACGCCTTGGAAAAGTCAAGCATCAGAACTCCATTGATTTCTCCTTTTTCGATATTATTAACAAGATATTCATAAATCATTGTCAACGAAGTTTCGCATGAATGCCTCGGTCTGAACCCATGTTGGTGGTCCGATAGAATTTTATTTTCAGTTAGATAAGAGAAGTACGAATTGAACACATGCTTTTCTATGATCTTAGAGAGAATAACTAGATCAGAAATTGGCCTAAAATTTCCTCTTTCATTCTTTTCACCCGATTTATCGATTGGGATTAATTTAGCCTTTTCCAAAAAGATGGAAAGATACCTGTGGTAAAGCTTTGGTTTCAAATATTAGCTATAGAAATTGGTATCATTTTGGCAGGGAGCTTAATGAAGTGAGCAAGGACCCCGTCAAGTCCTGTTGCTTTAGAAGAATTCAATTTTTTCAAAGAGTCAGATACTTCCTCAATGGTAATGAGAGGGATACTAAATTGGGTTGGCTTAATCGGCAGAGAGAAGGCTGACTGGTTATAGTCAGCATTCTCCCTCATTTCAAATCTATCCTGAATGTTGGTAAAATATTCATTGAAAAGGTTACTGGTAGATACTGCATCATTATACAATATATTATCAACAGTTAGTTTATATATTATATAATATATTATCAACGATAGTTCCGATGAAACTTTCGACGGAAATTAACTAAAAAGCGCAAGGTCAAAGTCAAACTCAAACATGCAATTCGTACCTAGTACTATTCACAGCCTCGTACCCAGGCGTTTTAATAGTAAAATTTTTAACGTTGAATTCAGTATTGGATAGAGGTTGGTTGAAAAAAAGAGGGTGCTTGGGGTGGTTTTAACAAAGTTAGCGCTTGGCAGAAAATGATTTCAACGTGTAAATATTTAAATGGATCATATACAATATATTGAATATAATGCAATACAATATAATTATGTAATATAATTACATAAGTTAGATTCAGGTTTTTAAAAATGTTATAGGTTGATATTAATGTTCAACATTTCATGTTACAAATTATAACCGATAAATTTCACGTATGAAATCAATTTACTTTTAAGTTGTTCCCATTTCGCTTTGAATTCATCATCAGATTATTAAACCTGTAAACAAAGGAATGCGAGTTTATCTTTTATGTCATGAACAAAAACCTCTTAATATGTTGTAAATGCGTTCACTTTTCCCAATAGTAAATATGTAAATACGGCGAGCGATTATTCGAGTACTCTACGATATAGTCACTCTAATGAAAAATATTTAAATAAAAGTACCTTCAGATGATTCTTCGCCAAAGGAAACGTTCATAATACTTGGCTAGCCCATCGCCGGTCGATTCCAGTATAAAAATTTTAAATAATGAAAAAAAACCTGCAAAAATGCAAACGTTTTTCAGAAATCGGTCACGATTTGTTAGAAATCGTTTTTTTTCTGCCAGGCGCTTCCTCTCTAAAGAAAAACCACACATACACACCGCGCGCTGGCCTTTTTTTAGGTGACCTCTATACAATAACTGAATGCAACGTTATATACTTCCTATTAAAGCGCCTGGTTACGAGGCTGGTTTGGTCATGTGATTGACCGCCTGCATGATTTTGGGGGGTTTGCACGTTGTATTGGCAATTGGATCTAAACTTTAGAAGGAAACGAACAATGCAGACACATGTCTATTTTGAGTTATTATTTCTATATTTTAAGATAAATAACATCATAAAAAGTTACGATTAGCTCTGTTTTTTATAATTTCTTCTCCCAAACACCAGATTCATAAAGTTTGCGTGTTCTTCCTTTTCTCGCTGGCTTCAAGCTGCCCATAATATACAGATGCACTGACTGTGTCATTCTATGTCCACTGAGCTTTTGGCTGGACCATCATCGACCACATAATGAAAAACACGTCTTCGCTTTTCAACTCAGAACGACCGCCAGACCGCTTAATCGAAGGGGGTCAACGTATATTCATATATTAATATTTACATATCATAGAAAAATAGTGTCGGTTCATCAGAAATCAGTCGGTCATAAGACGAATATATGAATATGCGTTAGCAGAACAATTGGAACAAATTAAATCCAATTTATCTAAGCTTCTCTAATTTATTTATCCAACGTATTTAAGTTATCTGCTTGACGGATTTTCCTTACAGCGCATGCACAAATACAACAGCATATAGCTTTTGTTCGGCGCACGGAAGTATTTTGGTACGAAAGACAGAACTTATCAAACGTAAAATATCATTTGTGCTACGTGGTAGCTACGACTGCTAATTATAAATACAGCTCGTAAAGGTATTAGTAAAGGCAGCGTACACGAGGGCTATCTCCTAATTACGGCATACTTGGACCTTTCTATTAATGACGTCCGCGCGGAAAGCCTGATTTGTATTTCAGGCATCATCACTGACATCAGGCATAAATGACGTCATTTATATGAGAAAAGTCTATCTGTCACGATTGACATTTGACTAAGAACATAGCTCTGGTGCAGGCTTACGACAACAGTTGTGCCAAAGAAGAACTACTACCGGGGCGTGTAAACCAAACCCTACTTAACCAGACAGCATTTTTTGATATGGTTATTACCGTGTCAGCGGAATGGACGATGTTGAACACTTGATGTTAGAAATGATATACTTGTTGTAGAGTGTTGGGTAAACAAAGCAAAGCAATATGGATGATCTGCGTTTACTTCATTCAGGATTATGACGACCACAACTTCAGTGCTCTGAATGAAACTGATACGATCGTAGCCAGGCGACGGAAGTTAGACCGCTAAATTTGAGAAGGGGGGTTGTTTATTCATTTATTTTGGACGCTATTGTTTCTCTGATATGTAAACATGAATATATGAATATACACCCCCTCCCAATTAATTAATAAAGCGGTCTAGTGCCAGGGTCGTAGCTACGGACGCCGTAGCAGTTAAAATCCCGCCACTTTGGCCGTCCAACCCCGAACTGCGATGTAGTGTCCCCCTCCCGCACTTTCTAAATGGTTCCGCAGCCCTTGTTTCGACCCTGTTTGACGTACTGAAAGACACATTGACCAAGCGAGTAAGCGTTCCAAGTTCCAACAACGATTGGGTCTTTATGGGCTTTAGTAAGAAATTTTCCTTATTTCAGGGACGTCTTTAAATACTTATAAAGTAGTGGGGGAAATGTCCCACCGAACCCTTTGTGAACCTTTTGTTGCCTATAAGTTATTACCTAAATCGCATTGAATATGTCGATATATAATATTAATAATTTACGTGTTGAATATACTCAATGTCAGTGATACCCAGGCACTAGTTGTTTGAAAACGAGAAGTCCGACAAATATTCTAAACATTAACACATTTTGGTTGAATTTTTAATTATAAACGGAGATCTTGTATATTTTAAAGTTAACTGAAATCTAACATATTCATATGATTCAATATTGCTCAAATTTAATTAGTTCCCAAGCTTTCCCAATTCACCTTGACCGTCCGAAAAATCTAATTAGTGAGGTCGATATCATTGCTCATCTCAAATTCATCAACATTGGCAGAGTTCTTCAAGCACCGTTCAATAGGCCCATTAGTGAATCCACTTTGATACTTTTCACATCCCGAGGGTACTGGACCTTTGTAAGTCTTACAAATCAATTCAATCAAGTTGCTTTCTGCTTCGTTTTGTATCTCCTTAGTATGAACACCTTCTAAGGTTACCCAAGGTACGTAGGTATGCGTTGGCTTCAAAGCTTCGGTCTTTAACGCCATTTCGTGTTCAAGACGATTACCAAGATCACCGTTCGCACAGGACTCGATTTTCGAATAATTAAGGTGGAATTTTTGCGCGCAAGAAGGGGCTGCCGTGCTTGGATATACTTCTGACACTTCAATGCAGTGAATAAATGGAAAGAAATCACTGGCTTTCGGGTAAAAATGAATAGCGCAGGTTTCGATCAAATTCCCAATACATTCTTGCTTGCCATGCTGGCAGCTGAAAACCCACTTGTCGCCCTTCTCTTTTTCATTGGCATTACCATACGGTACCAAATGTACGTTCATGATACTGCCAATTGCCTGAAAAGCTGGATAGTACTGGTTCTTGATGAAGTACATACATCCCCCACACATGCTTTCATAATATAATGTGATGTTCACCCGTTTTGCTTCTTGCGCTGTTGATGAAGTAATCACGAGGTAAATTGCAACGATTTGAAGCACGAACTTTCATCATGGTTTTGCTCTGTAATAACAAACTAATACGACGATCTTCAACCAACTGATATCAATATCGATTGAGTGTTTTGCTTTGCTTGAATTTTGAGATATGATACGATGTCTGTCAATATCCAGAACCAAACATTACTGGACTCTGTCATGGATTCATGTGTGCAGCCATGTCGCCTTAATTCGTGTAAAACATGTTTGTTGTAATAAAACAATAAAACAATAAAAAAATGATATAGCTACGTATTCGATCAACTATCTGTGTACATGCCTTTGCTGGTCGGCTAAGATTAACAAACTGCTAGACATCTGGCGAAAATAAAAGCAGAATTTTGGTTTTACGAATCACTCACTAAAAAAGTTAAATTTAAGTCCAGGTTGAGAAAGTTCAGTTTGGAAAATGTCCAGGCAGTTGACAGTCACATGACGTCATAGCGGGCAGCTTAAGAAGGCCCTAAGAAAAAATATAAATATATATAAATAGCGAAGTAACATTGATTTTTTAATTGTTTTTCTTGTCATATAAAAGTGTAGTTCCAAAAAAAATAAATTACTTTTAGTAAGGCAAGGAATAACTGGAGAACAACTATTAATGACTATGACGCCAATGCAATGACTGCCATATGAGTCTATAATTATACAGTCGATTTACGTATATAAGGTAATCCGGATTGTTTGGATGTGATCCTCAGTTTTTGGTTGTCGTCCAACAGCACATACCAGAACTTCCCATCACAGGACTGCGATTTCGTAAAATAGGAAAACAATGGTAATATGCCCTTGACCTTGTTGCAAAATTACAGTTATTATACTTATGTGATTGATCGTTTGAATCTTCCAGTATTAAAATTATTTTTCCTTTTTTTCCTTTCACGCGGACAATGTATGGCGGTGCGTAAATATCATTTTGAGTTGTGATGGCGCTTTAAGAAAATATTAATTTAGCAAAAATCAGTTTGGTTCACTTACAAGCTAATTCCGTCATTGCTTTGAGAAAAATTAGTAAATATAATGATATCCAATTGATCTGAGTAGAAAAATCAACCAATCAGAAGCCCGACCTTGACAAAACTGAATTATTATCGTCGTTTCAATTTACAGCTGAACTGTAAATTGAAATTTTTCGCCTTTATAGTATTGGTTGGAAGAACGGGGAAAAATTAGTGAAATGACTGAAGAAAATTGAAGCAACGATAGCTTTGTTCTTGCATAATCTTCGAGCCAGTGCAAAGCGCCCTGCGAGGGTACTAATTCCAGTTGGGAGATTTATTACACCCGGGTATTTTGACAGAACATAACGGGACCAAAGTTAAAGAATACCCATCAGAAAGAGTTGTCAGAATTATATGTCATAGACGGTCGACGTTGGATAGTTTTGTTAATCAGGCGCATGCGCAGCAAGTAAAGACTGGTAATACAATACTACAGCTATATACTGCTAGCTATATTTATATATCCGGGGGCTGAAAATATGTATAGCCTAGGGACGGTTTGATTGCCAAAGCCGCAGGTGTATATTTATGCTCTACAAAACGATTTGGGCACATGCAGGTAGGTATACGCAGGAAACAAATCAAACAATAAGGGCATGCCTTCGATTTTAAAATAGTATTTTGAAGGCCCTTTCCCCTGCCCCATCCCCCTTTCTCTCCCCGGTTCCTACGTTACTGTATTTACATCTGAATTGAAATGCAATTTATCTAAGCTTCTCCAATTTATTTATCCAACGTATTTAAGTTATCTGCTCGACGGATTGTCCTAACAGCACATGCGCAAATACAACAGCAAATAGCTTTCGTTCGTCGCACCGAATCAAACACAAATTAACATTTCTGGTACGTGGGATGATTGCCAAATGTCGGTCTTAAAGGCATCTGCTATTCCACACACGAGAGCTATTTCCTTACTGCATGCTATAGACCTTTCTTCCAATGATGTAAACGCAGACAGTAGCGTAGCCAGCCTGTCGATTTGTCCCGCTATGCTAATATTTTCGTGTTCACTGATTGTGAAAACAATACATAGATTTCTAAAGACACGAATGATTATAATAACTCGAAATTTACATAGCGGGACAAAATCGTCAGGCTGGCTACGCCACTGAACGCAGAAGGCCTGATGTTACACGACGTTTGTTTGCCTCGTTAGTTTTGCATTTCCGTTTAACATCAGGATTTCCGCGTTTGACGTCATTATGAGGAAAGTCTATCTGTCACTTATGTACGATTGACATTTCACTAAGAATCTAGTTTTGGTGTGACCAGGGAAAAGCGACAAAGATACAGGATACTACAAAAATTTCCAACTTAACATTATGACCTGAAATTTCAACAATAACTGAGATTGTTATATATGTGCTGTGTATTTTAAATGTGATTGGTTGATTTGGTTCATTCATAGTCACATGACTTTAAATAAATGGAATGTTTCCCACAAGCTATAGGGAAAAAGTGAAAAATTGTTGCCCGCTTCTTGTCACAACAAAGTAAAGTGGGTATTTTTTAAAATAAAATTGTTGTGTAACATGTATGTTTTTGTTCCTATATAACAAAACACTAATGTACACTACCTCGGGAAATAGTGAGTTTTGTTTTCCCTCGAGTCTAAATGTTTCCCTTCCCTCAGGAAACATTCAGACTCTTGGGAAAACAAAACTCACTATTTTCCTCGGGAGCATACATTAAGTGTATAATATTAATAAAATATATAATACCATGTACACAGAAGAACCTTAGGTGGACCTGCAACTTCTTGAAATTGTTTAATGCATATCTAAACAGTGATATTAAACATCTAAATGTTTGGATAAAAGACAAAAATTTAATGAATCTTTCACGTTATCCAGTTTAATCACGTTTTTATTGGAAGCAGGTTTGATGACCTCTAATTCTTGTATTAAGTTTCATTAATTATGGCATTATGATGCTTAATAATTTCAATTGTAGGGAGCTGTCTTAAAATAACCTCAAAAACAGTTCTGATTCGGAGCAATTATAGAATACCTAACCAACCCACATCTTAACAGTGAATGTAATATAGTCTTCTAGATAAATGTACCTTGTTTTATGTTACTTAATCCATGAATTGGACATCCAGAGAGCAAGAATAAGCACTATTTTTAAAGAACGGGTTAGTTCTATACTCTAAGATTGATCCTCTAACAGATCTTTAGCATATTGGACTATTGGCCTGGTATTCTATAATTGTACCTCTGATTCTATTATTCATGTATTCCTGTTCAATGTTGTGGTGTCCAGATAAGCCTATCTTTGAAGTACATCCATCTCACAGTTGCTTGATTGAGATTATCTAGCTATTTCAACATACTTCTATGATTTTTCTCCAGTATGTCTTTTTATGTCTATCATGCAAACCACTTGTCTACTACAATATAACACAGTCTCTCTTCTTACAAACCTCACATTCCTAAAATTTCTCCCCAGGCGTGTGATTTGTATGTCTTGCACAGGCTGGTGCTTAATGCAGCAAATACATTTTTACAAACATCGCATCTATAAGGTCTCAATCCAGTATGTGTTCTTTGATTGGCAACCAAACTGCTACCATGTGGAAATTTCATATTATACAAACATCACATTCATAAGGTGAGTACTGTGTTTTTTTTTATAAGTAACCAAACTGCTACCATGTGGAAATTTCATATTATACAAACATCACATTCATAAGGTGAGTACTGTGGTTTTTTTGATAAGTAACCAAATTGCTACCATGTGGAAATTTTATATTATACAAACATCACATTCATAAGGTGAGTACTGTTTGTTTCTTGATAAGTAACCAAATTGCTACCATTTGGAAATTTTATATTATACAAACATCACATTCATAAGGTGAATACTGTTTGTTTCTTGATAAGTAACCAAATTGCTACCATGTGAAAATCTCTTTTACAAACACCTCATAAGGTTTCTCTCCAGTGTGCTGCAGTGTGCGTTCTTTTATGTCTAACCAAACCACTACCACAGGAAAATCCCTTCTTACAAACATCGCATTCATAAGGTTTCTCTCCAGTGTGCGTTCTTTTATGTCTAACCAAACCACTACCATAAGAAAATCTCTTCTTACAAACATCACATTCATAAGGTTTCTCTCCAGTGTGTATAATTTGATGACAAACCAAATGACTACCACCTGAAAATTTCTGCTTACAAACATCACATTCATAAGGTTTCTCTCCAGTGTGTATTATTTGATGACTAACCAAATGACTACCACGTGAAAATTTCTGCTTACAAACATCACATTCATAAGGTTTCTCTCCAGTGTGTGTTCTTTGATGATGAACCAAATTACCAACTTGTGAAAATCTCTTCTTACAAACATCACATTCATAAGGTTTCTCTACCGTGTGTGTTCTTTGATGACTAACCAAATGACTACCACGTGAAAATCTCTTCTTACAAACATCACATTCATAAGGTTTCTTTCCAGTATGTGTTCTTTGATGATGAACCAAATTACTACCATGGGGAAATCTCTTCTTACAAACATCACATTCATAAGGTTTCTCTCGAGTATGTGTTCTTTGATGATAAACCAAATGACCACCACGTGAAAATCTCTTCTTACAAAAATCACATTCATAAGGTTTCTCTCCAGTGTGTGTCCTTTGATGTCTAACCAAATGACAAAGCTGTGAAAATTTCTTCTTACAAATATCACATTCATGACGTTTACGCGTTCTTTCTCTTCTCGCTGGCTTCGAGCTGCTCATATTTGCCAGTTTTTGCCACACTATTGGCTCATTTGGCTGTTAAACAAGAACAAGAGAATGATATTCATTGCTTTTTATTAATATGGTTATTACCATGACAGCGGAATGAGTGAATTGAAATACTTAATGTTTGAAACGATATAGTTGAAAGAGTTGTTGTCGAACTAGGCGTTTCTATCGCAAGGAAAGTGTTGCTTTGATGTTGCACAAACTTCTTCGGGGAAAATGCATGATAATCCACTGGTAGCTCACGGGCACGCCGTAATATACATTTATTGGATGAGGCTGGGCATGATATCAAGAAATAATATACAATCTTCGTTCATTGGCCTAAATCTACTCGCGCGATTGGTCAAAATCAAACACTGTTGTTCCGCGGTCAGCTGTACCATTTTCTTTCGAAGCAAGAACAAGGCTAATTTAAATTCACAATTTCAAATGTTTCGTATTTAGCATTTTATAAGTTGCATTAAATCCCCATGGGCTAAAATTCGTGAGCACGGCATTCAAATTTTAACAATGAGTGATTTCAATAGTTTTCATTTATTTGAGACACCCTGTAGAGCGATAATTGGGGGGGGGGTGGATATTCACATATTGAGTTCTGCCCGACGGATTTCTATTGTAAGCTATTGCAATTACAAAAGAAATCTGTAGGGCAGAACTGGATACATGAATATTCACCCCTTCCCTAATTATCGTAGTAGTAGTTACGCGCCTGCTGGCCGAATCCGACTGGAGATTCGATCACTGATCAACATAAATACCGTACAGTTTCGCCGCACCACGGTAGGCCAGTGTCGTCGTACAGTAATACCCTTCGAAAGGTGAAAATTACTTGGATTTCTTCTCGTCTGTGAGCTACAATGCTACATCAATCTTCAATTTTGGATTCATCCACGTTTTAATAAATGGAAGCGAGGTATGTGACAGTGCACTGTGTATATAGCATTTATATATAAGAGAGGGTATAAATCAGTTGTGATTTTTGGCACTTCACTCGATTCAGATAAATTCTAGGGGTTTAAGCGGTCTTAATTTCGAGTGGAATTATACGGCACACTTCAAATTCATGCCGGGGACAGTGCGAACCACTAACCAAACCACAACCATTCATAAGGTTTCTCACCGCCGGTGGCGGATCTAGGGGTGTGCAGAATAAATTACTAGAGCTTAAAATCGGAATCGCATTGGTCGATTTTAATGTAAAAATATTCTTTTCAAATCTATAACCAATAGCGTTGTTATTAAGGTGTTTTGAATTTAAAATTAAGCTGTGTAATTTATTCTGCACACCCCCTAGATCCGCCACTGCTCACCGGTGTGTGACCTTTCATGTCAAACCAAATTAGGATTTGAACATAGAAAAATCCCCAGGGCCAGATCTAATTTCACCACTGAGAGTTTTACGAGAATGCGCATCGGAATTATCATTGTCTTTTCGCACATTGTTGAACAAATCCTTTTCTACAGGTCAGCTGCCTTCTTGTTGGAAACTTGCTAATACCACCCGATTATATAAGAAAGGCAATCTACAAAGAGTCAAGAAAGTATAACGATTAGATATACCTCACAGTGTTATAAATTGGTTTATTGATTTTCTCACCAATAGATTCCAAATAATTAAGCTGGGAAACTCCTACTTTTCGTCGTGGGACTTCCATCAGGTGTCCTTTAAGACACGAAATTAGGACCCTGGTTGCTCATTATTTTAATAAACAGCTTACATTTATCCCAAGCTAGGGGATATTAGTGGTATATGTGGACGACTCTACAACGTCTGAAATAGTCCCGAAATACGATATTAGGAAAGCTCAGGGCCTGGTCAACGAAATGTCTAGCTGGTCAAAAAAGAACAGAATGCAACAAAATTCAGAAAAGTGAAAAGAACTGCACATTTCCTTTAATGTAAACCCCATTGATATTGATCCCTTAATTTTAAATGGTTGAGAATGGGAAGTCTTAAGGTGGCTCGATACAGTTTCTCGAATTTTTTTGGGCTCATTTTAAACAGGGATATTAAGCACCTAAATATTTCACTATAAGGCTAAAAGTTAATATACTTTGCAGGAAACATATATAGAGCGGAAATTTTCTTAGAACCTTTGCCGGGCACCCGTTACCATGGAAACAGAGACGTTTCAAAATGGCCGCCAAACAAGGTTTTATCGTGTTTATATCACAAACGAGTTCGGTGACCCTCAATTTCTTTTGCATTAAACGTTTACGCTATAGATTATTTATCTGTGAAAAAGTTTTAAGAAAATTCTAACATGGGGAAATTTTTTAATAGGCAAAAATAACGTTTTTGTAAATAGAAAAAATTGCCCATGTTAGAATTTTTTTAAAACTTTTTTATAGATAAAGCATTTATGTCGTAAACGTTTAATGAAAAAAAATCGGGGGTCACCGAACTCGTTTGTGATATAAACACGATTATATATTGTTGGGACTCACCATTAACAGCAAATTGGAATGGAATGAGCACGTTGCTGTTGTGGTTAAGAAAGTGAATAAAAGATTGTGTTTTTTCTCATAATTAAAACGTGCGAGAGTGAAATCGATAATATTTGATAATATCAAACATCTCATTGTTGATTACCCAATACCACTCGGACTAGCCACAGCTCAGGCGTGAAAGCAGAGATTTAACTGTTAACTGTGGCTCGAACTTGTCATAACTGCGGCGTTAAAGCATGAGATTTCACACTGTTAAACTGTTATTCGGATTAGTCATAACTGAGGCGTTAAAGCATGAGATTTCACTGTTAAACTGTGACTCGGATTAGTCATAACTGCGGCGTGAAAGCATGAGATTTTACTGTTAAACTGTGATTCGGATTAGTCATAACTGAGGCGTGAAAGCATGAGATTTCACTGTTAAACTGTAACTTGGACGAGTCATAACTGAGGCGTGAAAGCATGAGATTTAACTGTTAACTGCAGCTCGAACTTGTCATAACTGCCGACTGCGGTGTTAAAGCATGAGATTTCACACTGTTAAACTGTGACTCAGATTAGTCATAAATGCGGCGTGAAAGCATGAGATTTCACTGTTAAACTGTAACTTGGACGAGTCATAACTGAGGCGTGAAAGCATGAGATTTCACTGTTAAACTGTAACTTGGACGAGTCATAACTGAGGCGTGAAAGCATGAGATTTAACTGTTAACTGCAGCTCGAACTTGTCATAACTGCCGACTGCGGTGTTAAAGCATGAGATTTCACACTGTTAAACTGTGACTCAGATTAGTCATAAATGCGGCGTGAAAGCATGAGATTTCACTGTTAAACTGTAACTTGGACGAGTCATAACTGAGGCGTGAAAGCATGAGATTTCACTGTTAAACTGTAACTTGGACGAGTCATAACTGAGGCGTGAAAGCATGAGATTTAACTGTTAAACTGTAACTTGGACGAGTCATAACTGAGGCGTGAAAGCATGAGATTTCACTGCTAAACTGTAACTTGGACGAGTCATAACTGAGGTGTGAAAGCATGAGATTTCACTGCTAAACTGTAACTTGGACGAGTCATAACTGAGGTGTGAAAACATGAGATTTCACTGCTAAACTGTAACTTGGACGAGTCATAACTGAGGCGTGAAAACATGAGATTTTACTCTCAAACTGTGGCTCGGATGAGGTGTGGAAGCATGAGGTTTCTTGCACTGTGTCTCCGATTCGTTAGGAATGCGTGTTGACTGCGTTCAATATCACTTTTAGAATTGTGCGTCATATCACTGCTGTAGTAATTAGCGAGCTGTAAAAACATGAGATTTCACTGTTAAGCTATGATTCGAATTCCGACTTATAGATGAAGAGTGAGGACATTAAATGTCACTAGAACTGTGACTCGAACTAGTCTTAGACAAGCAGTGATAACGTCTAAAGGCGTGTTAAAACACTTCAGCAAAAGCGGGCAAATGTGTCTCCTTCGTTTTGGCAGTTCTAGCAGGCTCGAGAGTCGATGTTCTAGTGGATAATCAAGCAGTCATTGGTGCTTGGCAAAAACATGGGGGTAGAAGTCACTCCCTTAACATCGCCTTGAAGCAGTTATTTTTTACTACGACCAGATTGAATGTCATCCTTAACATGACATAATTATTATGTCCCTTCTAGGGACAACCCGGCCGATGCACCATCTCGAAAGTTATCTTTGTTGGACTCCAAACTTGCCCCTCCAATGTGGGAAAAAGTCCAACAGGAGTTTGGAGGTATACATCGACACACACGTGATCTTATGGCCTTGGACTCTAATGTCATGTTAGACAGGACGGGCAGCCCACTACCCCATTCCACCCTTTATTCCTCTCCAGCTTCCCTTGGTGTTAATTTATTTGCGCAAGACCTATCCCATTCCTTTCCCCCATCTGATGCAGCGACCGTACGTCTTACCCCCCCCCCCTTGTTTTGGTAAGCCCCTGTTGCGATATCTCAAGGAGCATCACCTGTCGTGCACAGTGGTGATTCTAGACACATATCCAAGAAAGTATTGGTGGCCAATTCTGTCCGCTCATGCGACGACAACATACAGATTGGCTCCGCGAGGTGCGTCTGATGCTTTGCTTCGACCCTCGACACAAGATTGGCACCCATACCTTGACATCCCAGGCGATTTGTGGGTTTTTTCGGTGGTTTTTCCTTAAAAGGGCAAGTTCTATGCGTAATCATAACTAACCGAACAATGGATTTGTTTCTTTTTCTGTTGTGTTTAGTTTTTTATCTGTCGTCATAGGAGCTCTCGGTGGTTGCAAAGCTTTTTACTCCTTCCGTACGATGTCCCACCTGCCAACATGGGAACGATCGTGACTTCCGCGATTTTGCCAACGATGTGGTTATAGGCGAAGGATTCTTTATCCCGTTTCCACTACTCCTGCGACGATAAATCTCGCTAAAATTGATAAGTGGCTTGGTCATCTGTTAGACTACCATCAAGTGACAAGTTACCGTAAGAAGACGGAATCGTTGAGACTTGAGCTGGAAGCATTTCTTGCTGCG